TTCCCACCTGTGAGTCAGCACTTCTCTAAGCTGGACTGAGGAGGAAGGATGAGATGATAGTTGGTTTCTACCTCCTACCAAGTGACTACCATACATAGGATATATGTGACATTGCTATTGTGAGGACAGAGCTGGCGCCTGGCTGACCCAGCATCAGTGTGGGTGCAATGTAGCGCCACAAATCTGGAGCTTTGGCATAGGGCAGGCTGGATTGAGATCTGTTTGCCCCAGCTTAATTATATTGTCTTAGACAAGCTGCTGAAACACTCTGTATCTCAGTGTCCTCACCTGTGGCATGGGAATGAGGCCATGTGATCATGAGGGAAAGGTAGGGTTGTGTGTGTGTGTGTACACGTGTATGTGATGCTCACAGCCCAGTGCTCCAGAGTACCGCCATTGACCTTGGGAGGCAAAGTTGTTCTGAGCGCTTGGGTGTGACTTGCTTAGCATTAGTAAGGCTCTGGGTAGAGCTGCACAAAAACAAAGAAACGGAAAGATGATAGAACTGCACCTGCTAGAGCTCTGAATAGGTCCTGTTGTCCTTCAGGACCAGTTACAGATGTGGATTCGAGGCAACGTGAGTGCCTGTGCTCGGTCCATCTTCATCTTTGACGAGATGGACAAGATGCATGCAGGCCTCATTGATGCCATCAAGCCTTTCCTCGACTATTATGATGTGGTAGACGAGGTCTCCTATCAGAAGGCCATCTTCATCTTCCTCAGGTGAGGCTGTGGCTGGGATGACCTGCTGGGAGACCCTTGTGCCTGGACCTGGGGGCTTTGGGGAGAAGGGCAGCCCTTCCTCACTACAGTTGTTTCTTCAGCAATGCTGGGGCAGAAAGGATTACAGACGTGGCTTTGGATTTCTGGAAAAGTGGGAAGCAGAGGGAAGAAATCAAGCTCAGAGACATGGAGCACGCCCTGGCGGTGTCTGTCTTCAATAACAAGAACAGTAAGTACAGCTGCCCTTTATGAGTCCAACCCACTAGTCCTACACCCTCCGTTCTATCCAGTCTAGGAGCCATATCTACTGTGGTCTCAATGCTCCCCCAACCCAGCCAAATCCCTGAGTGAAATCTGTTAATGAGTCACAGGAGAGTTCATAAATGCTGAAGTAGCTGCACCACTGCTCAGTTAGTTGAGACAGGGTTTGTTCTACATTTCTTGTAGAGGAAAAGCAGGTAGCTAAACTGGGAGAAGGCCACTGTATGACTACAGGGAAAGAGGTAACTAGGTTAGGACTCTCGCTTTGCAGTACCCTAAGACTCTGCCTACCCATGACCAGGTCTTCCCCCTGTACCAGACACTCAGACATTTGACCTGTTTGTCTGCCCTGTTACCTTGTAGAATAGATAGATGCCTCTCGTCCCATTGTTTACAGAGGACACTGAGGACCAGTGGCAGAGCTTGCATAGTGCCACACAGGCTGGGCGCCACCTCCATCCTGCACTCAGAGCTTTTAACTTTCAGCTCAGCTGCTTCTCCAGCTACTATCATACAACCTTTGACCTTGAACCTCAGGAGATAGACAGACAGCCATGAGGGTGACTCACTGGTTATCTCACCAGGTCTTCAACAAAACAAAAGGCCACAGGGCTCATTGGAAACATGCTCACCAAGAAATCTGTATTGAAGTTAGGTGACTAGTCAGTGTGTTGTGTTATTCCTGTACAAAGGAATTACTGCTGAGGAAAGTTGAGCATTTTGTTACATGTTGAAACGTCTCTCTTCATGCTAAAAAGTCTGACTGCTCACAACAGGAAGCACAGTGATGTGGCAGCAATACATCAGAGCACTGTGTTGAAGGTAGAGAGGATCTCCTGCAGGGCTGTAGATGGGGTCAGAGACAGTCAGGCGTCTGGCTGAGGTGGTGGAACATTGACAGTAGTGCTGCTGCACAGTGAGAAGAGCAGTTTTTGTAGGGAGTACATGTGTTTGAGGCATCCTGGCTGGGAGGACACATTTGACTCAGGACACACATCTGAGTTGGCAGTATATGGATGTTTTTACTTGTATGTTGTTCAGACCCAAATCCAGGGCCTTACACATGCCAGGTAAGTGCCCTACGACTAAACTACACCCCAGCCCAGCTGGTGTTTGTTTTAAGGCCTGTAGCCATCTGAAGTCTACTGGTTATGCTGAGCACTTGGTGGGTCAGGTGATTGGATCCTCATCATTCAGAATGTGCTTGGGGTCTCCTCTCCAGCCAGGCCAGACGTCCCCAGCTACAATGCCCAGAGCTCTGTGTACATCTGGCACAGTGTAGGTCTGCAAGACAGCAGTTATCCTGATGGCTGCTCCATAGTTACTTTTGTTCTTTGCTGTGGCCACAGGTCCTCACTGTGTACAATCACTGTGCAGGGCTTCATCGGGAACTGAGAACAGACCCTTGGCTCTCTGCACGGCTTGCATTGTGAGCCAGAACACAGAGATTAGAGTTAAGTAGGATGGGAAGACATGTCATAAGCTTTTGGGGCATCCAGCAGGTGCTGAGTCAAGTGTTCTCAGTACTGGGAGACTGAGCCATGCAGAGCTAGGCTTCTGCAGGGAAACACTTGTCAGAGTTCAGACCTTTGAGCTGCACAGCCTTGCCTGCACACATTACTTACCACCCAGGGGAGTCTAGGTATTGCTTCCAGAATGCTTTGCATGGTTTGGGCACTAGCAGCAGCAGTGGATTCTTTAATTGCTGCTCTAGCTGCTGAAGCTCTGAGGACAGACTATAGTTTCCTAGATGGAGACTGACTAGTGGAGTCTGTCTTTGGGGATAGCCTCCCTTATCTCTTTTTTTGCACCTCTTCCAACCTGTCCATCAGCCTCTCACCACACTCCCTGGATCCCAGCACACAGTATGGTGCATGTGGCCCTCTAGCCTGCCTCTCATCTCTAAGGTACTCTGGAAAGACCTTTCCAAGCCCACAGCACTAAAGTGTCTCTCTTAAAGCTTTTTTTTTTTTTTTCATTTGTGTGTGTGTGTGTGTGTGTGTGTGTGTTTGTCCAGAGAGGGTGTTGCACCCACTGGACCCAGAGTTATGTGGCTATGAACAGCCTAGATGGTACTGGGGCCCAACTCAGATCCTCTGCAAGGAGCAACAAGTGTTCTTAACTGCTGAGCCGTCTCTCCACCCTCAAGTGTCCATCCCTTTACATCACCCTGCCCTCGCTGTCACAGCAGCATCACAGGGCAGTGTTTGTAGGCAGTCCCTAGCTCCTGTCTCACTGTATGGAAATGGAGGTGGGTGTAGGGGGTGGTCTCTCAGCTCTATCTCAAAGGTTGGCCCGCAGTGGACACCTAGTAGTTATACTGGATGGACGGATGAATATTGAGTGGCACCTTTTGGTCTTTTTTCCAGGTGGCTTCTGGCACAGCAGCCTCATTGACCGGAACCTCATTGATTATTTTGTCCCCTTCTTGCCCCTGGAGTATAAGCACTTGAAAATGTGTATCAGAGTTGAGATGCAGTCCCGTGGCTATGAAGTAGATGAGGACATTATAAGCAAGGTGGCTGAAGAGATGACATTCTTCCCCAAGGAGGAGAGAGTCTTCTCTGATAAGGGCTGCAAGACTGTGTTCACCAAGCTGGACTACTACCTGGACGACTGAGCCCTGCCACAGAGGCTCGCACTGTCAGGCCACTCCCTTCCCAGGAAGAGGCTCAGGACACTTCCTGATGAGATTACCAGGTATTGCCTTGGGGACTGTTTCTGCTCCTCAGAGCCTGCAGGTGGCCCTATAGTAGGGACCGCAGACACAACAGGGACCCAAAGCTTCCTGGCACCTCCAGAGGATGAAACTTCCCAGCCTGCCCATTCCCAGGCTCATGATTTTTAAAAATTATGTTTTAATTTCAGGTGTTTCTGTTTTGAGGCAGAATAAGTAAGTTTTACTGCAAATGTGATAACTTTATTTTACGTGGTTTTTTAATATTATGAGAAATGTTTTAGCTGTTGGCTTTGTGTGTCTTTTGAAACTGTCAGGCTGACATCACCAGTGTTTCTACTAGCGGCCCAAGCATGGGTATCTGCTGCATAGATGGCATCTCAGGAACAAGGGACTGGCCCTAGGGGACTGAAGCCAGCCCAGCCAGGGGCCATGCAGGGGCCGGGATCACCATCACAAATGCACCCTCAAGCTCTTCCCTGTACTCAGTAGTATGGGAACAAGCTTAGTGGCATTGTGGTTGTCAGGTCCACTCCAGGTGCCTGGCAGGTAGAGCTCCAGATGGGCTTGTTTTGTGCACACAGTGCCTGCCAAGAGGTGGGGCTCCTGTGATTGTGGCTGCCATCCAGGGCACTTGCAGGGCTGGGTTTAGCAAGGAGAAAAGGGCCTGAAGGTTCAGCATCAAGAAGTAGGGCAACTGCTGGCAGAACCATTCTCTGCCTCCGCTACCAGCCTCTTAAAGGTTCCCAATGATGGTTCCAAGTCCCCAGGAGTTGTTTCAAGTCTGACCGCTCACCTAAAGATGGAGCCCAAGCACTGAGCCCTAACTGAGGAGCACGGTCCTGTGTTTGTAGATATGACAGTGTGGGTAGTTTTGGGTTCGCAGCAGGGTGATAGTGAAGAGGAGGGCTTGCCTACCTAGACTGTCCTCTCGGAGGACAGTTAGTCTGAGTCCTGGCCAACAAACAGATCTGGAATCAGGTTCTTTACCAGTGCTGGGCAGGAAAAACCAGCGGCGGGGTCTCTCTGGAGCTAGGATGAAGACAGCTATGGCCAGGTAGATACATCACCGTTAGGAGGATGTTATGTGGTAGAATAGCTCGCTGCTGCTGAACTCCAGTGCCTGTCTAAGGAAGGGAGAAGTGCCCAACTTTGGCCTCTCCATGTGTGTACATGTAATTAACTATTCACGTGTGCAAACACACCACATAGAAAAGCCCAAAAACAAGCATTGATTTTTGTGTGATTCGGTCAACATGGACATCCAGGTATGGGAAGGGAAGGAATACATGAGCAGCTCTAGAGCCTTCTTTCTGAGCGTAGTTTGCTGCCACACAAATGAGGGAAACCACACTGGCTTTATTAGTCTGCATCCAACTGTTCATGCCTTCTCACAGGCCAACCCACACCTTTCCAAGTCACAGATGGTAACAGCAGTCCAAAGGTGGCCAACACGTGTCCACACATTGCATCACTGTAAACAGAAAAGCTTGTTTCTTTTTGATCAGGCACGCAACAGGTTATAAATGGTAACTTGGGTCCAACCCAAGAATATGGCATGGAACTCAGCCTCACCTTGGCAGGCTTTTGTTTGCTTTTTGCTTTGAGACAGTGTCTCTGTATGTGGTTTGGCCTAGGCTGGCCTCAAAGTTGATGCAGTCCTGTCATGGCCTCCCAGGTGCTGGGGCTAAAGGTATACACTACCACACTCGTTTTAAAAAGACTAAATGTGATTCTCTGTAAGGCATCTCCATGTTATAAAAATAGTCATTCTACCACATTCTATAAAATTATGGCACAGTCTTCTCATGTCTGCAGCTGCATTGTAACTATGGGACAGAATGGTTCACAAGGCTGGAATCACAGACTTGCTCTCCTACAGTCAGAACAGCCCAGCCCATTATTGCCACTCAAGGCATCACCCGGAGATTACATCCAGGACCCACTACAAACTGAGGACTGTGGGGTCTAAAATTGTGCCTATATAATTCCCACTCTACACATTTTAACAATAAAAACCTTTTTTTTCTTTTAAGAGTTTCATGTAGCTTGGGCTGGCCTCAAACTCACAACATAGTGGAGGAACCCTGAGTCAAGATCTTCCTGCTAGGAGCATGGGCATTGTGTCCCACACCCAGCAACAATAAAAACCTGAGAATACCAAGAATACTTAGTCTAATTTATGTCCTTCCCAGGTTTTTGTCTTTTGAAACAGGGTTTCTCTGTGTAGCCCTGGCTGTCCTGGAACTCACTCTGTAGACCAGGCTGGCCTCAAACTCAGAGATACATCTGTGCCACCACTGCCAGGTGCTTCCTAGGTTTTAAAACACATGGCATCTTATACTTTTATTACCTAACGTTTGGAAGTAAAAAAACATATTTTAAAAATATACATGTCCTTAAAAAAACCAGCATCTCTGGTGTGTGGCCCCTCCTGCAGACAGTTTGAACACACTGGGGGGTGTGGCCATGCAAGACCTAGCCTAGTGCTTACTCTTCCTATGCATGAGCCTGGTGCTGTAGCTGTACAGCTGACCTTAACCTTCAGAGCAAGTGTAACTGGCAAACGGACCCAGATTTCCTTCAAAGCTGATGGCTTGTTCTGACATGACCAGGGATGAGGCTGGGGTGAATCTAACAGTTCAAGAGACATGGGCCAAGGCAGGTTACAACCCATACACAGTGGGAGACAGGTGAGAAAATTCCACAGCCAGGGCTAAGCAGAAGCAGCTAAGGTAAAGTATTGCCTCAAAGGCTCTGTGTCCCAGTGTGCTAAAGTGCCTCAGAGGGGGTTCCTACTGCTCACACTGACAGTTCTGCAGAGGTCAAGCTCACATGCTCCCCTCAGAGACCAGCATCTGCTTCTGAATTGACAGATCAGGGCAAAAAAAAAAAAAAAAAAAAAGCAGAGGTGGGTGTTCCTGGAAGGGAAAATGTGGTTCCCCAAGGCTGCTACAGGGTGCTGTAGCCCATTAGGCATCTGAGGCACAGGTACCATTGGCACCACGTCCCGACATTTAGGCACTTGATTCACAGCCTAAAGTTCGTATTCAGCTGCTGCCATGCAACACTGACAGCATTCGGGTCCACAGGTGCAAATGTGCAAAGCCCCAAGGGGGTCTTTAAAGTGCTTTGGCAAGGCCCTGGAGGAGCTGGAGGCGCCCCTGAATCCTCCCACCCCATGAGGTGAAGAACTCAATGGAAATCCAGCCGTGACTGCACAGTCTTGCAGCCCTTGTCTGAGTAGATCTTCTCATCCTTGGGGAAAAATGTCATTTCATCTGCCACCCTGGTGACGATGTCTTCATCGACAGCAACCCCCCGGGCCTGCATCTCTGCCCGCACACACATCTTCACGTGTCTGTACTCCAAGGGCAGGAAGGGGATAAAGTAGTCGATGAGGTTTCTGTCTATCAGCCCACTGCGCCACAGACCACCTGCAGAACAAGACTGGGTCTCCATCACTGCCTCCTGGCCACACCCCATATCTGATCCTGGTCCATAGTCCATCCTTCATGTCTTTACCTTTCCAGAGACTCTGTCAAGTAACATAAGCATTCATAATACCATAAGAAAACTCCCTATGGCAGCAAAGCTGCAAGCAAGAGTGATGCTGGCTTTTCAAGACACTGTCGTGAAGCAGCTCAGTGCCAGCAGAGCACTGAGTGCCCCCACTCCATAATGGACTCACTGTGCTTGTTGTTGAAGACACCCACAGACAGCACGGGCTCCAGGTCCTTCAGTTGGATCTCTTCCCTCTTCCTTCCTGCCCGCCAGAAGTCCAGGGTCGTCTTCGTTATCAGGTCCCCACCTGCATTACTGAGTTGGCCAGAGACACAAAGATTGATATCACACTTCACTTATCCCCATCTCCTTGCCAAATACATTCACCCAAGGCTTCACTCCTTTTCAAATGCTAGAACCAACCCTGGAGTCCTGTGCATCTAAGCAGGTATCACCATATGACACCCCTGCTTCCAGGTGTGCCCCACTTCTAGAGATCCTGAGATTTTTTGTTTTTTTTTTGAGAGAGGGTTTCTCTGTATAGTCCTGGCTGTCTTAGAACTCACTCATTAGACCAGGCTGGCCTTGAACTCACAGAGATCCATTTGCCCCTGCCTCCGTAGTGCTGGAATTAAAGGCGTGAGCTGTGCCACCACCACCCAGCTAGTGCTCCAAAGCTTTAATCCAGGACTATTTGCAAGATGCTACCAGACAAGGACAAAAGTGTGTCTGCCTGCAAATGCTGTGTTTAGAGGGGCAGGCAGAAGCAACAAGTGCCTCACTGAGGGGTCACTCTGGCTTATCCCAGACCCAGTTTCTATGCCAGACTGACACTGGAAAGTAAAAATATGACAAAGAGCCTATGGCTTTCTTTGCCAAGATAGCAGTTCTGTCCTGGATAGCCAGGAAAACCTCATTCCAGCACTTGTAGTCCCTGAGTAGTCCCTGAGAAGCCTCCTTGGCTGACCTGAGGAAGATGAAGATGGCTTTGCGGTAGGAAATCCCATCCACCTGCTCATAGTAGTCTAGGAAGGGCTTGATTGCATCAATGATCCCGGGATGCAACTTATCCATCTCATCAAAGATGAAGACGGAGAGGCCACACGCGCTCACATTGCCTCGGATCCACTTCTGGAGCTGGTTCTAGACCAACCATAAAGAGAAGCACAACTCAGAGGGTGTTCCAGAGCTCCCTGGGCTTTGAGGAGCCATCACCTGCATACTTGCCCCCGCACAACAGGTATATTTTCCAAACTTTGTCACAAGTGGAAAGGCACTAGCCATCTAAGCCTGGCCACATGAGTTCAATCCCTGGGATCCACATGATAGAAGGAGAGAACAGACTTCTAAAAGCTATGTGCTGACCAGCACATAGATAACCACAGCGTGCCTGTGCATGCATCTGTAACCTCAGTCCTCCCGAAACAAAATGGGAAGTAGAGAATTGGACACATAGTACAGCAGCCTCAAACAAGGAAGGAAAGAACCCTGGAGTTGCTTCTTTCCAGGTATTTTATCACAGCACCAGAAAAAGAAACCAAGACACCAGGCACACAGAGAAATGACAACTGGCAGGGCGTTGGTTGTGCATGCCTTTAATCCCAGCACTCGGGAGGCAGAGGC